CTCGGTTTGCCCTTTTCTTAGGCTCGGTTGTGGCTTTATGGAATCTGATTTTTATAGCCCTGTTTTAACTCATTTAGTGGGGTCGAATTTAGCTTCTTTTTGGATTAAATGTTGGCTGGAAATGATTTCACTTGTTTCGCCTCTTTACTGAGTTCGGGTTAGCCTCTATGCTGCTTGGTTTTGCCCCTTTTACTGGGCTCAGTTTTAGCCTTCTTCTAGGCTGAATTTAGTTGAAAGTTTTATGTTAATTTTTTAGCCCATTTGGTGGGCTTGGTTTGAGCTCTTTTCGAAATCAAATTTATGCTTGAAATGCTTCTCTGTTTTGCTCCCTCTGGCTGAATTTGGTTTGCCCCTTGTGCTAGGCTCGGCTGTCCCCTTTTCTTGGGCTCGGTTTGGGCTCTTTTTAATGATTTATGTTAACTGGGATCCTTTACTGTTTGGATCATTTCTTAGATTTGGTTTGCTCCTTTATGTTGGGTTTGGGTTGCCCTTTTCCTAGGCTCGGTTTGGGGTTTTTACCCTTTTGCTTTGAGGCTGATTTGGTAAGGTTGGCTGTTGTCTTTGGCCTTGTGCATTACTTGGCGCTGCTGCCTTTGGGTCTCTCTTTTTGGCCCTTACCCGTGAATCTATGCTGCCTTTGGGCCTCTCTTTTTGGCCCTTACCAGTGGGTCTATGCTGCCTTTGGGTCTCTCCTCTTCTTGCTGCCTTACCCGTGAGTCCTCCTCTCTTTTGGCCCTTACCCGTGAGCTGGACTTAGAGCTTGGTTGTCTCTTTCTATTGCCTTGGTCTTGGATATTTACAAAAAAAAATTCATTTTAGGGAGATGTAAAAGAAAATGGGAAAAGAGCTTGTGATTAAAGTTGGAATTGGTATTGGCATAGCTTTTTGGAAATAAAAAAAATAAATAAGAGCTATTCTTTATGAATTAATCTTCCTTGTCTTATGACATATGAAGATTTCTTGAAACTTTATTTTAATAAATCATGAATTTAATATGAATTGAATTCATGTGAGGTTTGGAAATTCATAAGATTGATATTTGGAAAGGATACCCTCCTCGGGATAATCCATTTATGAAATGTGAGAACATGAAATCCTTCTTGGATTGATTCAGGGATCTATAGACCTTATTTAATAAGGTTTAAGTTACATTTTAAGGCTTTTAAATCCCTATTTGAGATTGATTCATTTTTTTAACAAGTTTTAAACGTCTTTAGACCGATGCATTCGCGATTTCATTTTAAACTTTATTGATTTGACTTGGTTTTAAAAATGGATCGATCTCCTTTTTTTCTTTTTTTTTGTTTTTTTTTTTTTTTTTTTTTAACGGTCAAATTAAAAATGAGAATTTCCGATTTAATTATTTTCAGAAATGATTCTTGGTCTTAAGGAAAATATGAGGGAAAAAAAAATAGAGAGAAGATTAAAAAATGAAATTTGATTCTTTGAGATGATAAAATCTAAGGAGGAAATAGGATAGTAAACCTTTCACCATTCATTTTACATAAGAAATATGAAATTGTAAATTGAAATAATAGTTTAGGGTTGGAAGAGAGTGAGAGTTTACATAACGAATAGAGACATAGATTGAAAGATCAGTACACCTGCATTTAGGTTCCTTAAGGTTTGAATCAACTTAAATCCAATTGCTCTAACTAGGATTGAAACACATTTCACACCCATTTTGCCAAAATTATAGGTTTACCCCTAGGTTTTAGGAGTCTGATAGGGAGCTAAGTTTGATCTAAAGATATTCGAGGATTAGTTGAAAGACACTTAATTGAAATTAGACACTTTAGAACACTTCAGGCTCAAACTAAAGTTTAGGCTTCCCAGGACTTAGGAGCACACCTTGAGAGAGTTCATCCTTCTAATGTTCAAATGAACCTAAGAAGCCAAATATCTTACCCCAGTTCATGAGATAATTAGGAACCCTAGCTTATAAGGACACTGAACACGAGGATGCGCTAGATTGTGATTCACGACTGATTTAATTAAATTAAATAATGAAATTCTTGTCTTAACTTGACCAAAACTGAAACCCAATGTTCCGTGATTTGAGCTTGAGTCTTACACTCAGATCTTTCTGGCAATTGGGGACATTCACAATATCACATATAAATCTTCTATTCTTGGTCTTTTATATGTGATATTGCATTTTATTTTATTTGTTTGTCTTTTTCCTACGATTTACCTTTTGTTTGTCTTTTTTTGTTTGTCTTTTTCCTACGATTTACCTGTTTTCTCAAGTTTTTCAGGTAGTGTTTTTTTTTTCCTTTTATACAGCGCATACTAGTTAAACTTAAAGAAGCAACGAGTCTTCCAGGTGTATAGGTTTGATTTGCATTAAAGTATTTTCTTTTATAAGCATGCTAAACTGTCATTCTTCTTTACTGTACAGTACATTGTTATTTTTATTTCATACTGCATGTTTTACTGCTTAGTTTTTGTACTATGCCTTAATACAGGATAACCTAGTGGTTATGTGCATTTTCAAAACTAAAACTAAACCAGGAGGTGCTACTACGAAAAGCTTGGAGTGAACATCGTGGGCAGCACGACGAGGAACAACTTCAGGGTGGACCAGCAACATCAAAACATTTTCACGTCACCGATCACCTTCTTTAGTTTAAATAGCAGTCCATAGGATCACCCTTTAGGCTTTTGCACAACTTTGTTGTGCAATTATAAGTCCTAACACTTTAGGATTCCGAGATTACCGTATAAGTCCTAACATATAAGTCCTAACACTTTAGGATTCCGAGATTACCGTACGGTACGGTGTAAATCTTCCTATCTTTTTAGGTTATTTGCACAGTCCGATATTGCGTAAATATAAGTCCTAAATCCTAAATAATTTGCAGGATTGAAATATCAAATAAAATCATTTCAAATATATAAAGCCAAACCATAGGATAGTTGGGAGGTCACCGGGGTTCTCCCTGAATCTGTGATATCCCCTACTTTTCATCCTTTTGGATTATATAAACAATTGTTCCTATTTTGAGCTACTCCCACTTAATTTTTCTATGTCCAATCTTGAAAACCTAAACTTTAAAACCTAAACTTTGAAATCTTTAAGATATAATTAACTATAGAGGTTTGCCTCTATAGGGAACCTGGAACCCAGATAAAATAAACTCTATCTATTTTTTTTATGTTAGGTAGGGGAACTTGTTGGTCTTTTTATGAAATATTCCGCAGACCAAAACGGATGTCACAAATTTTTTAGTCTAGGTGATTGAATCTCTATTATAAGTGATATATTTATTCTTCGAGATAAGTGTATTACTTGTAATATTGTATTCAATCATCTAAACAATTTAAAATGTGATATCCGTTTGGTCTCACATATTTTAAAATTAAAATGTTACTTTTAAAAATAAAAAAAAGTGTTATATTCATATTTAAATTATTTTCAAAATCACAAAATCATCACTTTTTCAAATCAAGAAGTTAAAACGGCCGATAGGCACAAAGTCGGGATGGCGTATAGCTATTATCAAATGAGGGATTTTCACCCTAGATATACGAGGGAAATCACCAGAGGGAGAGAAAGTTGAAGCTGTTCATCTTCGAGGGGGAAGACACACATGGTTGGGTGTACCAACTAAAGTGATATTTTGTGTTAAATGGGCTAAATGAAGAGGAAAAGCTCATGACATCAGGGTTATGTTCGAAAGGGAAAGTCCTAACATGATTTCAGTGGAGGGAGGGGACATGTCCGATCCGCTCGTGGGAGAAATTTAAGGATTGCTTGTTGGATAGTTTTTGAGTCATTTGGGAAGGAGACTTACATGAGGAATTCTTTGCCTTGACTCAAAAGTGAGCTATCAAGGTATAGGACGGGATTTGAGTCATTGTCGGGACGGTTGTGAGGGATTTCTGAAGTAATATTGGAAAAAAATTTCATGAAGAGTTTAAATCCTGTTAAGGTCACGAGAATTGGGAGATAATGGAGCTAGCACAGATGGTGAAAGACAAGAACTAGATGGAGAGGGCCAGTAAAACCAGCAACATAGGTGGATTCCATAGGACCAACCCAAACAATGTCATGTCAAAAGGAGGCGCCGAAAGAGATTAATATTGAGGCCCGTCCAGGGGTCAACTTTATGTGCCTCGCGAAAACAAGTGAAAGACAAAAGATCAAAGGGATTATGTTTCTGATGTGATGAGGAGTATGCACCAGGCCACCAATGCAAATATTGGATGCTCCAAATCCTTACAGTTTGTGATGGAGAGGAGGCACAGTGAGAAGTTAGAGGAAAAAACAGTGGCAAGAGAGGAGCATTTACACCTGGATGTAGCGAAGATATCCCTCAACTCAGTGGTGGAATTTAAACTAAATCACACCATGAAGATGAGGGGACATATCGGGAAGCTACCAGTAGTGGTGTTGATAGATAGTGGGGTCGCTCACAACATTATCTCAAATCGGGTTGTGGACCAATTGGGCTTGAAGTTGGTAGATACGAGAAGTTTCAGGGTCATGATGGGAATAGAGAAGGTGGAGAAAAGTCGAGAAATTTGCAGGGGATTGGTGTTACACGACAAGGCGTAAAAAGGGTAGACTTCCTTCCCATGGACTTTGGAAGTACCAATGTGATTCTAGGGATGACGTGGCTACAGACAATTAGAGAGACAAGGGTAAATTGGAAATCCTTAACTATGAAGATTAGGTTGGAGGGGACAAAGGAAGTGTTGAGTGAGGATGCTAGCTTGTGCAAAACCACGGTCTCACTCAAAACCATGGTCAATGTGATATGGGGAGCAATATTGGGCTATCTGGTGGAATTATTAAGTCTAGAGGAGATTCGGGATTCAGAGTCAGTAGAATCCCCCAAGTGTGTTCACCAGTTTCAATAGCAATTTTATAACATCTTTCAGCAGCCTAGCGGGTTTCCACATCTGGGGAGCACGAGCAAGTCATTACATTGAAGAAAGGGGTTTCTCCTATTAGTGTATGCTCATACTGACATCCCCAAATTCAAAAAAATGAGATGGAGAGGTTGAACAAGGAGATGCTCGAGATAGGGGTTATCAGGCCCAGTGTGAGCCTTTTTTTCCAGTCATATCTTATTGGTGAAAAAAACGCATGGTAGTTGGATATTTTGTGTAGATTATAGGGCTCTGAACAAGAAAATTGTTCTTGATAAGTTTCCTATTCCGATGATTGATAAGTTGTAGAAGAGCTTTTTGGAGCAGTCATCTTCTCGAATATTGATCTGAAGCAGGATACCAACAGATTAGGATGAAGCTAACTGATGTGCACAGGATAGCTTTCAAGACTCATGAAGGGTATTTTAGTTTTTGGCGAGAATGCTCCAGGCACATTTCACTCTCTCATGAACAAGATTTTTGGCCTTATCTCATAAAGTTTGTCCTTGTAGTTTTCTATGACATCTTGATCTACAGTCGTATGGAGGCAGAGCATATGAGACACCTGAGAATAATACTTAAGACTTTTAGAGAGCATCAACTATATGCCAACCTGAAGAAATGTTCCTTTGCACAGTCACGGGTGGAGTACCTAATGCATGTGGTGACTGAAGCTGGGGAAGCAGTGGACCAATCCAAAATTGAGACAATGTTGAATTGTCCTTTGCCTACGAGCTTAAAGGAGCTGAGAGGCTTCTTAGTTTTCACTGGATACTACCGAAAATTCATAAGAGTATATGATATGATTGCATGGCCGCATATGGAGCAGTTGAAAAAATATAGTTTCAAATGGGGGAAAGCAAAGACACGGGCCTTCGAACAGCTAAAGATGGCAATGACGAGTGCGCCAATAGTGGCACTTTCAGACTTCAGTAGGTCATATGCAACAAAGATGGATATGTTGAGACCATGTTGAACTGGCCTTTGCCTACGAGCTTAAAGGAGCTGAGAGGCTTCTTAGGTTTCACTGGGTACTACCAAAAATTCATGAGAGTGTATGATAGGATTGCATGGACGCAGATGGAGCAGTTGAAGAAATACAGTTTCAAATGGGGGGAGGCAAAGACACGGGCCTTTGAACAGCTAAAGATGGCCATGACGAGTGCGCCAATAATGGCACTTTCATACTTCAGTAGGCCATATGTGACAAAGTCAGATGTGTCATGATATGGATTGGGGGCAGTACTTCCAGCGACCTATTTCCTATTTCAGTTAAGTGCTCATTGTCAGGGCAAGGCTCAAGCTCGTATATGAGCGAGAGTTGATGGCTATTATTTTTGCCATTCAAAAATGACATCCCTATCTATTAGGGTGACACTTTATAGTCATGACATTTATAGAAGCTTGAAGTATTTGTTGGGGCTAAGATAATTTTGAGATCCAGTATTGCCTAGGAACGGAGAATAAGGCACAGATGTACAATAGAGAAAGGTGGAGGAGCCCAGCTAACAACTTCATCAATAACCATGGTCTTAGATTGGGAAGCCTTGATGCAGGAGAGTGAACAGGATGAGGGGCTGAGGAAAAACCTGGCAAAGTTGCTATAGAATTCGGACAATGATCCAAGATATGCATTGAGAAGAAAATAGTCACTCTACTAGGACGATTCATGCTATCGAGGGCATTAAGGTAAATCCCCAAACAGTTGCAAAAGTTCCACGCAGAGCAAATGGGAGACACTCAGGGGTACAGAAGACATACAGTCGACTGTCAGCAGAGTTATATTGGATGGGGATGAGTAAAGACGTAGAGGACAAGGGGGTGATATGTAATATGCCAAGGACACAAGTATTTGACTATAGCACCATGAGATGTACTGCAACCCCAAGCTTTACTTGAGAAGGTCTAGGAGGAGGTGACGATGGATTTTAAAAAGGGGTTATCACCGCAGAGGGATTTACTGTGATATTGGTGGAAATGGATTGCCTGAGCAAGCACACTTCATCCATTGCGACACCCATACACTGTTATCTTAGTTCTAAAAGGAATTATTCACCTTACAAGAGGTAACATTTAGAATAATTCTTCTAAGTCATTCTAAATTTTCTTTTGAACATATATATAAACATAATTGAAAAACATAAGCACTTATAACATTAAGAATTTTAATATCAACAACAATCTTTCGGGATGTAATTTTAATTTTAATTCTATTAATTTTTACAACAATATCTTTCAAACTCTTATCTATTACACCAACATCATTTCTAGTAGGATTCTCATCTAAATACCAAAATTTAAAATCTAAGTTATCAATTTTCTTAGTCTTTTCTCCAACTTATTTAGTTTCCTGAATGGATAAGATAATTACCCTTCTATGAATCATAACATCTACTAATTTCTTTATCGGTGAGATTACCTCAATTCCAAAATTTTATCTTAATATTAGTTTTATGAAATAACTTTTTTTGTCTACATCGTCCATAATAAGGAACTCTTACTTATTTAACATTACACCCGAGCGCCAGTGTATCGTCGGTCATACAACACGTCGCTTCCAGGGAGACGCTCTAGTATTTACAGAATGATTTAAATGATTCATGTCATATTTTTTTTATAAAAATGTTATTCTTTGAAAGGACGCCGTAGCATTTACATCTAAGACGATTCATGTCATGTCATGATTCTGATGAAGAATTAAAGGTGAAAATTTTCAATTCTAGATAAACTCAAACAAATGATAGAATTCCTAACTCCAACTAATTCAACACAACAGCAAAAGCAAAGATCCTAGAAGCTGCTACCACAAAATAATACCAAACCTGATAATAGTCTCTTAAACATGGCCAAATTCATATAAACTTCAAGCTGAATCATAAAATGCAGAAATAATAGAATAGCGCAGAATTGCTGTTAAGTAACATCAGGACAAACCTTTTGAAGCAAGCATCAAGCAGTTTCTCCTTCCTGAAACTTCTGAAGCATGTCACAATGAGGCGTCTGATGCTGGAAACCCCACTGCTTTCGCTGCAACTCAAGTCGACAGTTTTGCGAAAGCAAACTAACATATTCCCTCTGAATGCTTGCCTCCAATGCAACCCTTTCAGAACTTTGATAAGGGTAATCTTGCTCAAACTTTGTAGATTTCACATAAAAGGGGACACCCTTTGATGTCAAAACCTTGTGTTCATAAGGATAGGAACGGTTGAATGTGTACAATGGATCAGAGGATGGGAGGAAGTTGAACAAGATAAGAACAAGTATGGGCAGGATCTGTACAAGAGTACGTATGTTAAAATTACCAGAACCCTGCATCCCATGACCAACGTTGCCCCCCATGCCACCAGTACGGAAATGAAAGGTCCCAAAAGGAGTAGCAGCCTGATGCATTCCACCAAAAAAGTTTCTAAAGATCTCCTCTGCATCAATGTCCGCATCATAGAAGCCATTGGCATTGAATCCACGTCCATAAGCCTGGTGGTGCCGCGTAACAGGAGTAGGATCGTCGGAACCAGAAACATCATACCTTTGCCTGCTCTCTTCATTGCTAAGACACTGAAAGGATTTAGAGACTGCCTTAAACGCTTCCTCAGCACCAGGCGCCTTATTCTTGTCCGGGTGAACCTTCAATGAAAGCTTCCGATATGCCTTGCGAACATCTTCCACGGTGCAGCTCCGCTCTAGCCCCAATATTTCATAGTAATCCTTCTTCTTCTTTATCTCCCTAACAATAGCAATCTGCTCCTCTGTGTAAGCTGCAGTGGACGTAGACCCATTCGTGGAAGCTGCCGAAGACCTGCCCCTAGCCCTAAGAGTAGCAGAAGAGAAGGCGGCTGATGGAGCTTGACCAGCTTTATCAGGCTCATTCCTAGGACCATCAGACGGCGTCGGTGAAGTATCTCCGGCATCATCAGCCATGTCGGCACCACCTCCGCCGGCGAAGGAGAGGAGGTCATCAATACAAAGGGTGGGATCCAGTCGCCGCGCCTTGGTAAGAAATCTGAGCGCGCGAGCGCTATCCCCTGCCTCCAAAGCCTCCTTCCCCATCTTCACGCATTTCCGCGCCTCGTCTTTGTTCCCATCCATCACTAAACAAATAAAAAAGTTTATATCTCTGTGGCAATCGCAAAAATAGAATGAATTTATTAGTTCGTCATTTGCAAGACAAAAAGAAGAGAAGGATCCAACCGATAAGATTATCCATGAATTTGGGATCAAAATAAAGGAGAAAAAAAAAATGGAACTGAGATGCAGACTTCGATCTCACCAAAGCGAAGCGCAGTCCCAACAGCGCGAGTACAAGACGAGACAATAACCTTGGAATATACGAGGAAGCAGAAGAAGGGTAAAGGAAGTCGGAATCGTGTGAAAGGGGGAGAAAATTGGGAGGATGAACGGCTAAAGGCAACCGCACTTGCAGGGTAAACTGCAAATGCCGGCCACGCTCCGACGATCTGGCCCTAACTATTACTATAATGTTACTTTTTTTTTAGGCTTTTACCTACATACCATCTAAAATTTTATAAATAGCAGATTAATCGTTAAAAAATCAAATACTTCAATTAATAGTTAAAAATACAAATATTTCAGACTTCTGACGTACCTCTACGTGCAGTGCGGGGTATTCCTGATTTATTTTCAGGTTGTTTCTGGGTTATTTTTTAATAATCCTGAAATAACTCAGAAATAATTTGCACCACACGTATAGATACGTCAGGTGTCCGGACAGAAAATGCACGCCCAATAAAAACTTTAGTGAGGTGTCCGGAAAGAAAATGCCCCCCCCCCCCCCCTCTCACACCTTAACTTACTCATCTACATTTGAGTCACCACCTCTCGCTTACTGTCTCCTTACGCTCGACGTCATTCACCTCCATCTCCTAACCGTCGCTTGGCGTCTATATTTCTTCCGGCTCCGTCTCATTCACGTGCCACGCTCAGTCTCCTTACCACCCTATTTCTTTCGACCCCCGTATATTATACGTCTTCATTCCCTCCTCTCCTTCTAGGGAAGGACCCAGGAAGGTTCTAAGGGGGCAAATTCATTTTTTTATCTATATAAGAGGATAATTTCATCTTTTCCCCCTCGTAAAATATCAATTTTGTCTCTCTTAAAATATCACCTTGAACTTCGTTGCCCTGTAGTGCAAAATATCACCTAAACTTTAAGCATTATATATACAGACCAATCCATTCAATCTTTATGTGCATACATACAAAACTCTTGAAATTTGAAATTTACAAATAGTCAAATACAACTATAGCATAAGACCTGAATTTTGAAATACAACTATAGCTTATTCAATTCTGAAGTTACAAATAGTCAAATACTCAAGTATTCCCAACAGTGTCATCCAATCTCCCTCAACATATTGGAAGCTTTGTTTTTGAGCCCCTATCAGCATATGTAAATTCTGAGACATATTAGGTCGCATCAACAACAGGAAAATTTTGACTTAGCTTGCTAATCGAATTATTGCAAGTGATTTTGTGATGCCCCTCAGGAACCGTAATGACCACATTTGTGAGACAGTTTGCTCCTTTCGCTTTTACTCTCCATAAAACTATTTTTTCTCTCCTTACTCGCCCTTCTTTCAAGCCTTGATATATTTGGTTCAAACATATAAATATCATCGTTAGGTGTGATCCATTTACTCTTTCTTAAAAAAGGTGGCAATCAGATCATCGTAGGACATCCTACATCGATAGTTATATTGATAATGTTATAAATCAACTGATATATGATGTATGACTTGAGTTTGAAAAGAAAAGACGAAATATCCAACTGTATGAAAATACTCATCCATACAAATATGCCACGATGCTACATCTTTGTTGTCAATCTAGGCAACATAGACAAT